CGGCATAAGCGGTGCCTGTTTGTAGTGTCGGCTTATACTCCAACGGACTGCAGTTCTGTTGCTGAGACGGGTACCTTCTATCGAGAGCTATCCGGGCTCATTTGTCAGGCAACAAGCACTGACATTGTGATTCTTGCAGGCGATATGGATGCTCAATTAGGATGTCGGTTCGGAGTCGACGCCTCCCGCACAGACAACGGAAATCGATTCCTTTAGTTGTATGCTGACCATGAACCGTTTCTGGGAAGTATGAACTTTCAGCATAAACGTTCACCTCGCGGCGACCACCAACTGCAAATCAGCCGTGGACCCAGTTGGACCACGTGGCCACCATTCAAGGCTGCCGTTCCTTCTGGGGCACACTACTTGATTTCGATCACGCCATGGTGCGCGCACGCCTGACAGTTCGCTTCCCTTCAGGCCCTCGCAAATTAGCAAGAATCATGCCAATCCGCAATCTACGAAGGACGACGATAGCTCAACAGTACCGGTCCGAGCTAGCCCGGCAACTCTCCACAGTAAACCAATACTGCGGTGGCAATGAGCATGTAGATGAAGCGTGGCAAAGTACGAAAGGGGCTATATTAGCGGCGTTCAGTGCTGCGTGTTTGACTTCTATTCCACCACAAGACCGCTGGATGTCGGCGAGGTCGCTATCCACTATTGATGCCAGGGGATCCATAAAAGAAGGCAACGAATACGACGGCGCATGCAAATTCCTCGAAAGCTCGGCAGTTGGAGAAGGCCTTTGCTTCGGGAAACAGCCGTGCTCTATATCAACTGATACGATCGACTGGCTCTAGGAAAGCAATGGTCATCGAAACGACAAGTGAGAAAGATGGCTCATCAATTCACGCGCTAAAACGTCGACTGGGAAGATGGGCCGAATATTTCGAGAGACAGTTCAGCTAGCTTCCTGCACTACAGCCTGTAGAGATAGTGCATACGGGCAAATTGAATGTAAACACTGATCTTTGGAAAAAGAAATAAAGTACGAAATATCCGTGCTAAAACATGAGAAGACACTAGGACCGGACTGTCTGTATCCAGTCTTCTTCAATGAAGGCGGAGACTCCCTGACGATCCACCTGACAAACCTTATTAGTGCTGTATGGAACGAAGAGAGGGTGCCTACAGAGTGGGGCATGTCGACAGTTATTCCTATCTTCCAAAAGGGTACGCGGACGCTGTGTAAAAACCACCGTGGCATCAGCCTATTAGCTGTGACATCGGAGGTGCTCTCTAGTCTTATCTTTCGAAGGTTGACTGAACACAGGGAGAGACATCCATGAAGACCAAGCAGGGTTCCGTCCTGCAAGAGGATGCCTCGGTCATATCTTCACCCTCCGACAAATTCTGGAACAGCGACACTGCTCCCAACAACCAACAACAATAATTGTGTTCCTTGATCTGAAAGCTACGTTTGCGTGGACCGTTAGTCACTATGTCAGTGTCTGCGAAGATAAGGTGTCTTCCGTAATTTCTTGACCATCCTTATGGCGCTGTATGCCAACTCCTTGCGGCCGTGTGAAGTTTTATGGGAAGCTACATTCCGAGTTCATCACATTAAGTGGTGTCCGACAGGGCTGTTCTCTTTCACCTTTCCCCTTCAACTTCGTCATTGATGCGGTCATAGAAGACTCACTACCAGCCTCTAATGCCTGTGGGGTTGAAGTGCTCCCTGAGCGTCCGCTCATAGATATCGAGTACGCAGACAACATAGCTCTTTTTGGATCTGACCCCGTGATAATTCAAACAATATTAAATAGTCCAAATAATGCCGCCTCACAGTTCGGCATGCGCTTCACACCTGCCAAGTACAAAGTGCTACCGCAAGGCTGGGTGGGCTCGAACCCTAGACTCATACTTGCGGATGAACCGATTTAGGTAGTAGGCAAATTTGTTTACCTATATCACTCCCAGTGGTCTCGCGAAAGATGATATTTTCATCCGGATCGGGAAAGCCAGAGCAGCTTTTGTGAACCTGCGTCACCTGTGACTTAGGCATCTTATCAGCTTATCTGTCAATGGTTGAGTTTACAATGCTATGGTGCACTCCTTTCTACTGTACGGATCTGAAACCTGGTCGTTGCGCGCTGACGACGTCTAAAGACGTCTAAAGTGTTTGACCATCGATGTCTTCGGAGCTTTGCCCGAATCTGGTGGGAACACCGGATCAGCTATTCTGAAGTACGTCGAATGGTATTCGGGAGAAATAACTCACCCTCGATAGATGAACAGATCACGCTGCATAGGTTGCGCTGGCTTGGCCATGTGTTGCATATGCCAGTCGATCGACTTCCTCGAAGGGCTTTTCGCACAAACACGTGAAGAGTGGAACAGAACCAGAGGCGGTCAAACAATGACTTGGCAGCGAAGTATGAGAGCCATTACCAGCAAACTCAGCTGCGCTGGTCACTGCCGTCTTCCTGGATGGGGACCTCGAGACAGGCCACGTCAATGGCTAGAGACATTGTCAGATATGGTCCAGTCGCGCCCTCAATGGCACTCGTGCATCCAAGCTATTGCCTCCAATGCATAGCTCCTTTTCCAACCCCCCACTTGACAGCCCACTGACAGTGCTGGATTTATGCGCCAAGTTATCAGCTCCCGCCTGCAACGCGCAGCTACCTATCCCTCCCCCCCAAACCATCGGTGAACGAAACTGCGGCAGCTACAACCACTGTACGACGAGTACGCGGTTATTACAGCTGATAATGATGATGAGTTAGTCGCAAACAGAACCCTTTTTAAAAAAATTTCCGTGAACAGTGCCGATCCTTGCAAAATTCTCTGACAACCCTCAAATTTTTAGGGGCTCGTGTCAACGTACTGTTTTCAAACCTCCATGACGAATCAGTCACTCTAGTTAGCAGGATGTACCAAGACTAGGTTTGTTCCAGCCGCTCATCATCATCATCATCACCATCAAATGAATAATATGGGAGTCAGTACTGCCGATCATCATCATCATCATCATCAAAGACAGCAACATCAGTGTTGTCACTGGTGCTTCACTGCCATACAACCATAAGGTTCGTCTATATATATGTATACATATATATATAATGACACTATTAGAAGACATGGAGTGAAGAGAATGAAGTGGGTGAGAGAGAGGACCTAGTGCAGACCTATGTCAAGCATTCTGAGGTGCCTACATCTCCAAACGCTCAATCAGGTAATCTGGAAAGAAACTGACAGCACAAACGGACAACCATCGATTAGCCGCCACTTCTTGCAACGTCTCCAGCCAACCACAAGCGGGGTAATGGTGACCCTATCCTGGAAGCTGTACAACAACAACAACAACAACACCCAGACCCATCGTGATCTATTTCACTCCTTCGCGGTTTCCGCCATCCTGTAAAAGGCACGGAGAACATTTGTCTTGGTAGACGGTGTTTTGGCATGCGCACCACATGACCGAGCCATCGTGGTCGATAGTGCTGGATGTTTTCCCCGATTCTAGTACCTGCAGCACAACCAAATGCCCGATTTCTAATCACCTCGTTACTAAAATGCTGAAACCATCCAAAACCAGCCACGCTTCTGAGGCATCCGTGTTCGGAAACCTGAAGACGCCTCACATCGTCTGTCCACAGAGGCCATGTCTCGCACCCATTCAACACAGACCTTACTGTAGCCTGGTACACACGACCCATAAAATTTATTGACACCCCTTTTTTGACGCCACAAGTGGCGCAAATTAGCAAAGGTGATTCGAGGCTCTGAGATTCTTGCACTGACTTCATCAGACACACTTCCGTCAGAGCTACTACAACTACCGAGGTATGTAAAGTTTCCACAATCTCCAGTGATTCCCTTGGAGTGTAGGGGATAGGTTCGCAGATGGCACGTTCTGAAGCATGACTTTGCACTTTGAAGGTGAAAGGCGCATGCCAAAATAATGGTATGATGATGGTCATTTTATTCATAAGGGCTTGAGCTTCGCTTTGGTCTTCAAAGACGTGGACGACGTCGTCAGCGCACTCCAAGTCGACAAGGCTCTCACCAGCAACAATTTGAACTCCGGGGTTTTGAGGACCATCCAGTGCTCGCCTCACTATTTCATCGATGACGAAGTTGAACAAGAACGGAGAGAGTGGACATTTTTGTCTGACACCGCTATTTGTGTGGAAGCTTTTGGAGAGCTCACCATACACTCTCACCCGCCCAGAAGTATGTGAAAATAGGGATCGGATTATGGTTACAAACTTCTGTGACATACCCTGTTGAGCGAGTGTACTTAACAGCACTGATCGTTCGACAGAATCAAAGCACCCCTGAAGTCAAGGAACACCAGGATCGTGGGTCGTCTGTACGTATGGCGTTGCTCTAACGCCTGACGGAGTGTGAAGATGAGGTCAACCCAGCCTCTACCAGGCTCAGATCCCGCTTGATTCTCACGAGTCAAGGCTTCGCGTAACACCGTAAGACGACGAACAATCAGTGACGCCAGGAGCCTTGTCACAACAGGCGTCAAACTAACACCTCTGTGGTTACTATATTCACTGTGAGTGCCTTTTTTGAAAATGGGCACCACTATCGACTCACTCCACTTGTCTGGGACGGTCTCCTTCTCTCAGATAGACCCAAAGAGGCTAGACAGGCACTGGCTGAGGAATCCCCCGCCATCCTTGAAAAGAGCAGGTGGAAGGTCGTCAGGACCAGCACCACGATGACGCTTGAGTATAGAAATGCATTTGGACACTTTCGAGACTGAAGGCTGCTCCTTATTTACGGTCCACCTTTCTGTTGAAGGCCCGGTTTCTGGATCAGGGGTAGCAGATGGTCAGCTGAATTGCCGCTCGAAGTACTGTGCCCAGTGGTCCAAACATTCTGCTTTGCTGCCTACGTATGTTTCCAGCATTCTTTGCATATTCCATTTCTTCGACCTTCCGGGTCCACCAACCTTCTTGGTCTTCGCGAACACTCACTTTCACCTGGTGTCGGATGATCAGCCGGGTGGAGTTGTGGTGGCGGCCAGGGGGAATCTGTTATCGGGTCTCCAGCAAAGACACGGTCGTATCAGAAATCCAATGTTTGTACGAGTTTGGTTGGGTTGTACCGCAAACAGACATTCCGGTTTCGAGTAGCGCTTTGGATATATTTTCCGTGGCGTTTATATCCGACACCGTAGCGTCCGGCAGGCATTCGAGGAGCTGGTTCTGATAGTTTCGTTTGACTTCTCGGTCAACTAGCTTCTCAATGGCTACGCGAACTGTGCGCGTTTTGCGCACACCTGAAAAGCGTAACGAAAAGCAGCAGCAACAACTGCGTGGTTGGTTTCCAGAGGGACTGGCAGGCGGTGATAGATCCTCGCCACCGACAAATGACGGCGATGTGGTCTATTTGGATTCGGCGCTGGTTTGTTGGCGGGCACCACGTTGTCAAGCGATTTCCACTGTTCCGGAAATTTTTACTGCCTGTGGTCGGCACACATCTGAAGTAAGCGGTCTCTGTTGTCCATTCGTCTCGTGTCCGAACCAAGACGACCAACCAATTGGAACTCAGCTGCGCTTAGTATACCTACCTGGGCGTTCATATCACCATCAACCACAACGATATCTGAGCTTTTAGCCTGTTGTAGAAGGGCACCTAGAGCGTCACAGAAATTGTCCTTGGCAGATTCAGAGCTAAAGTCAGTTGGGTGTGATGAACCTCACTTCCTCTAGATTCTCTAACCGATGTTGCCAAACGAACCGCACATATGCGACAACTATCAACGGGTATCCAATCAAGCAGAGACGCTTCCGCTTGTGCGCTCAACAAATACCCACCACAGCATATCCAGCTGCAGCGGCCTCTGCATCACCCGAGGTGCGCAGCCGAAACCTAGAGGAGAGCGAGGGGGCAGTCAGTTCGATCACAGTACTTGCGTCCTGCGTCCTTGTTTCTGACAGACAACATACATCAATACAGAGGGAATCCAGCGTACGCGCAAGAGCCACCTGTTGACCTGCTTGCTTCAGTGTTCGAACATTGAAGGTGGCTAAGTAGACAGTTTTCGGGGTTTGAAAACAGACTTCGACGTGTTTAAGGTTGTGACTGAACTCGGCGTACAGAAACTGCCGCTGAGTGTGGTGCAGGGCGAGCAAAATGGCCAGTTCTAGAGCTGAAACGTGCGGAGAAAGTATTCAAATTTGTACGGGAGAGTGTGGAAGACGGAAAACGTGAAAGTGTGAGAAGGGAGGCGTCATCAGTGGCCTGTTTCACTTACCCGCCCTGGTTTATGTAGCACGTAAGGCGACCAGGCTGATGGCACCACGCGATGGGCGATGTGACATGAGTGTTGTTATCTGCAAATGTCATGGTTGTACGAGGGTTGGGATACTGTCAAGTCGCCCACACCTATGCAGGATGATTGGGGTCCTCAAAAGCCTAAACTCAAGGCGGCGGTGTTGGGCTGGAAATGCACGGAGCACGACGCCACACATGTTCCAACCCCCATCTAGAAGGCCAGGAGACTGCGTTCGTCAGACCTCTAACCTCTGACCAACCTGGTATGAGACTTTGTAAGTGTCACGCGGGCAGCCCCTCCAGTATAGCTCAATGGGTCGCCGAGTTACACAGATCGCCATACCACGGTAAGGTCCAGTCTCTTCGTAACGACTCAGCCACTAAGAAGCCAGTGGACCCAGAAATCAAACGGAACTTTCACAACCAGCTCCCCGAACACCTACCGGACGGTTCGATGTCGGATATCAACGGCCACTGGAAAAGATACCCAAGCGCTACTCAGAGCCGGACTTGTTTGCGGTACAACCCAACTAATCTCATTCAAACATTGGATCTCTGATAGGACAGTGGATTTGACGGAAGCCCAGCGACTATTTCCCCTTCGCCACAACCACAATTTCATCCGATTCATCATCTGGCGCCAAGTAAAACTGACTGTACGTCCAGAGCGAGAATGGAAAAGCCGAAAGGTCGAAGAAATGCAAAGTGCAAAATGCTCTGGAAATGTCCACAAAATGTTCCACTTGAATCATTCGACTGGTCTTCGGAAGCCTATTGTCAGCGAAACTATCATGGAGCATAACTGCTCTCTCATATCCAGCAGAGAGGAACACTTGGAACGGTGGATGCAATACTAAAAACTTCGATTACTTCGGCTGACCACCTGCGACCTCCCATCCGGATTGCAATCCTTCAATACAAGGTGGACTGTGAATATGTAATACATATCAACCTCAGAGGCGTCATCGCGCTCCTGACCCCGACCACTTTACATCAGCTTTACTCAAGGACACCGGGGAATTTCTTAGTCAGTCTATCTAGGTTACTTGTGTCTATCTGGAAGAGACTGTTTCAGATGACTGAAGTGAGTCTATAATAGTTCCCATTTTCAAAAACGGGCATTTTCGGCGAGTGTGGTAATGCACACAACGGTGTTGGTTCAAGTATCGCCGTATCATCATTGATTATTCAGTGTACACAGCGGTACGCGAACACTTGATCCGTGAACATCGAGCGGGTGTTCCATCGGGTAGACGTTGCGTGGAAAACATCTCCACAATCCACCAGGTGTTAAAGCAATGCCATACTTACAAACGACCAACGATCTTGGTATGTAAAGTCTCCATCGATTCTCCTTTAACTGTAAGAAGTGTGTTCAGAAATGTAAGTTTTGAAGCGACTTTGCAGTACAGTCACTGAACACACCCCTTACAGTTAAAGGAGATTCGGTGCAGGTTGCGGAGACTTTACGTATATCACAGGCTCCATTAGCTCTGATGAAGCGTCTGATGAAGTTAGCATGAATCTTAGGCGCGAATCATGTTTGCTAATTTGCGTCACTTGTGGCGTCAAATCGGCATATCACTGGGTCTCAAGGGCCAGGTGGACCAGGCTACAGTAAGGGCTGTGTTGTTGTATGGTTGCCAAAATGGCCTGTGGGAACAGATGACGTGATGCACCTTCGAGTTCTTGACGGAGGATGCCTCGGAAGCGTTTCTGGTATCGGAGGCATCAACGGCTTCTTAACGTGGTAATTAGAAAACGAACATTTGGTTGTGTAGCGGGTACTTCAACCGAGGAGAACATCTAAAACACTCAAATGTGCCGGCCTGAACATATAGTAGGCCCGCTGAAAGATCGTCTGCGGTGGTTAAGGATGGCAAAACATCATTCGGGTAACGTATGAATCGGTAGGATGGCGTGAAAGACAGTACGAAGAGTCTAGGTGTTTTTAGTGCGGCCCATGTTCAAGGGTGAGGTTCCCATGACCCCTGCTGGGTCTGGCTGGATACAATGCAGAAAATGGCGGCTTATCGATGTCAGTTTCTTTTCAGGTTGTTTAACAGAACGTTTCAAAGTGCAAACAACTCAGAATACTTCTGATTGGCCAGGATTAAGTCCTCTTCCTCATCTATTGTTTTCCTTCTTTTCACTCTCGGGCGTAATGAGCTCAAAATTGTGGTTGTACGGCAGTGAAGCATCGGTGTCACCAATTATATTACTGTCTCGATTGATGATTGAAATATAGCACGAATAGAATAACAACAGCTGTGATTGCAAGTAATAGTCCCTAACATCCTAGAAGAGGAAAGTGGTTTTGTTTCGGGCATCCCAGCTTGAGTATTCGAAATGAGTCTGACAACTGAGGCAGTGTGAGAATGCGGACAATGTTCAGAAAAATGCCTATCCCACAATTTGTCCACAAGACATAGGAGCTTGACCCCGACCCCAAGTAGTGAACACGATCTTATTGTCGACTTTCGCATTCCCAGAAGACAATCTCGGGATGATAATAATAATCGATAATCGTTCAGCGCCTAGCTGCCATGCCAACCGAAGGAAGCAAGAGTGCTGGGATACTACCAGGTTTTTCAAGCTTGGACAAGGGAAGTCGAGAAGCAGAGGTCGGGTGTGAACCACGGGTCTTCCGGTCAGTAAATTCGCGCTCTAGCCATCTCACCCTCCCAGAAATAGTGCAAGCGAGGATATCATCTTTATATGTCAGTGCAGTGGTTCGATCATGCAGCTGTCACTCGTACATAAAAACATAATTTAAAATCTCATTCCAGGAGAAAAACAGAACGAATTAACGCCAATGCACACTTAAGGCCACCATCTCCCACAGGCGAATAACACCCAGTCACTCTCCAATATATGCGGACGAAACTGAAGCGGCTTAAACTAACGGATCTTATTGGGCAGCCCATATAGGTGAAAATGCTGAACGGGTACAAAGAGGGAAGAGTTGACGACGGAAGTGTCTCAAGACTATCCGAAGTACCGGTAAGAAGGATAACCAGCGGTGCTGGGAATGGCATAAAGCAGGCACGACTATCCATGCGTTTTTTGGAAGAATTCGAGGCATCTAGAGTACCTTAACTGAGATTGTTGGGTTACTGTAAGTTGACAACTTCAAAGGATAACACTGCGGTTATTCGCGGCTCCGAAGAATAGCAATCACTAGATTTTATTACGAAAAAAATGCTTAAGACACCTGGCAGGTGAGCGACTGCCCAAAACACGTGTAAATCGCTGTATTAATCACCCTGGGAGTGAAAGTAGACTGTTTCTTCAAAAAAGTACATTGTAACCAAAGTCATCACAAACAGCAAAGTAACTGGCTCACAAGCTGGGTGAGACTGGAAATGGAGAAAGCTGACATACCACCTGCAACAAGTGTGCGCCCCTCTGGTGTAATAAAACAAATTTAGTGCGTATTGTTGATTCGAGGCTTCAGTAAGTCATTGGTCACCAGCGCCCCACGCAAAACCGCCAGGACGATCCGCTTCCGGAAGAGGCTCATAATCTCGATTTCTTCGTCTGTTAAACAAGTACTTCCTGGAATGTAAGCGTAAATAAAAAGTACTAGACTCACATGAACTGGGGTGTTCTGATGACCCTAAATCCATTGGCCTGTTCGGGAAAAACATCCTCTAGGAAGTAGTAGAGATGGCCGACGACAATACCTGGGAAAGGCTCAATGAACAAAATGCGTGCTACCGATAAGATCGATTGCCATGTTATTTCCCAGTAAAAACGCAAACGCGAGGAAAACCCAGGGTAGATACGGTGCGTTGACGTCGATAATGCCAAAAATATTCAGCCGGACAAAAGGATTGCGGCGACTCCAAACATATACTAGCATCATCGTCAGAACGTGGCTAAGAAAGAGTATGTGGACATGAATGGCAATCATCTGTACATAAGACACAAAGTGCAACTCACAGATGTAACGAAAACACAAAACAACAACATCATCACGAAATCAGCTGTCTTGGTACTATACCAAGTTTCCTCGAGCATTCGAGAGTACCGATATGCGAAGAGAATGTTGAAGAGAAAATTGAAATTGAAGGTCCCAAAAAAGCAGAAGCTTGTAATCAAGCGCCAAATCTGCGGACAAGCTAGTAGATTAACTAATTTCTCACCTGAAACTTGCTGATAATCAAAGAAGGGTTAAAATACAACTGGAAAGGGGAGAGAATATTCATTTGCTACAGCTCTATGTCTTTTAATAAAACCGAACTTACAACGGCCACTGTGAGGAAAATGCATGTTGCAATATACGCAGTCGTCACAGGAGGGGTATTTGCAATCTCACGTCCGACAACATCCATGAAACTCTAGTTTGGATGGTAACGTAGAAAGTTGGAAATCCGCCAAACTAACGTGTGTTTCCAGCACGCATTCAGTTCACCGATTCACAGGTGGACAGGATCGTGGCTTTTGCCCAAGAGTCACGGGTCGATATTGTCCTCATCGTTCAGCGGCTGTTGTTCACCTGTGAACGAAAAATGAAAAACGAGTGTAGCACTGTTTTTTATGTTCTCGGCGCGGGTCAGTATAATTGTCAGCGCGAGGATTCATATAAGTAATTGGACAATAATGCATTCAAGTGGAACGTGGACAACGGTCGGAGTAAGCTTATAACACGCAGCTACTACCCGAAATGAGAAAAAGTTTGCCTAATGTGTGCACTCTTAGCTTGAAGATCTTACCATGTCCTCGCCGTGTTCTTGTTGCGTGAACTGTGTGGCGTTTTGTACCTTTATTTTACATCCATTATGACAATACGTATTTCATCA